GACTCGATCCCGGGACTCCGGGATCATGACCTGAGCCGAAGGCAGTCGCTCAACCGACTGAGCCACCCAGGCGCCCTCATTTTATTTTTTAATAAGCTTACTTCTGTTTGACAGATTTTGAAGTAGTGGGTATCCTAATCAGATCTGTATAAAGTTAAATTGGTATCCATTATCATAGCCCCATGTATTTTAGCAAAAAAGATAATGAAATACTTTATTCTTAAAAATTTTTTTATTAAAAAATTTTACTTAAGTATAGTTGACATACAATGGTAGATTAATTTCAAGTATACAGCATAGTGATTCAGTAACTCTGTATGTTATGCTCACCACTCTTTATGTTAGCTACCATCTGTTCCCATGCAATCTTTTTACAATACCATTGACTATATTCCCAATGCTGTATCTTTTATTTCCATAACTTATTTGTCCCATAATGGGAAGCCTATATCTCCTACTCTCCTTCACTCATTTTGCCTATTGCCCTACTCTCCTCTCTGGTGATCATCAGTTTATTCTTTGTATTTATAGGCTTGATTCTGCTCTTTGTTTACTCATTTCTTTTGTTTTTTAGATTCCACATATAAGTGAGATCATATAGTATTTTTCTTTCTCCATCTAAGTTATTTCACTTAGCATAATACCCTCTAGGTTTATCCATGTTGCAAATGGCAAGATCTCATCATTTTTAATGGCTGAGTAAGATTCCTGTGTGTGTGTGTGTGTGTGTGTGTATATACACACACTACATCTTCTTTATTCATTTATCTATTGATGGATGTTTGGGCTGCTTTCATATCTTGGCTATTGTAAATAATGCTACAATAAGCATAGAGTGAATGTATCTTTTCAAATTAATGCTTTTGTTTGGGGGGGTAAATACTCAGTAGTGGAATTATTGGATCAAATGGTATTCCTGTTTTTAAATTTTTGAGGAACCTCAAAATACTGTTTTCTGCAGTGACTGTACCAGTGTACATTCTCACCAACAGTGCATGATGGTTCCTTTTTTTTCCACATCCTCACTAATGTTAGTTAATTTTTGTCTTTTTGATTCTAGCCATTCTGACAGGTGTAAGGTGATATTTCATTGTGGTTTTGATTTGCATTTCCCTGATGATTAGTGATGTTGAGCATCCTCTCATATCTGTTAGCCATCGTATGTCTTCTTTGGAAAAATGTCTATTCAGGTCCTCTGCCCATTTTTCATTAGATTTTTTTCTTTTTGTTGTTGAATCAAATAAGTTCTTTACATATTTTGGATATTAACCCCTTATCGGATATATGATTTTCAAATACCTTCTCCCATTCAATAGGTTTCCTTTTTGTTTTGTTGATAGTTTCCTTTGTTGTGCAAAAGCATTTTATTTTGATGTAGTCCCAGTAGTTTTTGCTTTTGTTTCCCTTGCTTTAGGAGACATATCTAGAAAAATGTTGCTTTGGCCTCTGTCAAAAAAACTACTGCCTATGTTCTCTTCTAGGAGGTTTTTGGTTTCAGTTCTCACATGGAAGTGTTTAATCCATTTGGAATTTACTTTTGTATATGGTGTAAGAAAGTGGTCCAGTTTCAGATAATGAACTGTTTTAAATACGGTTTTTTCACCTTGCATCAAATTTGATGCACAAGTTAAAGTACTCATAATAACCTAATGTCATTCCAGATATTACGGGGTTAAGGGTTTCGAATGTAGAAAAGGTAATCACTGTTCGCAAAAATCTAAGTTGAGCAATTTTGGATTTATGAATTATTCTCTCAATTTTAAATTTGTTTGCCTGAATAGGACGGGCTCCTCCTCGGAACACAACAGTAGACCTTAACAGTGGAAATATTGATGTGCCTCCCAACATGACAAGCTGGGCCAGCTTCCACAATGGTGTGGCTGCTGGCCTGAAGATAGCTCCTGCCTCCCAGATTGACTCAGCTTGGATTGTTTACAATAAGCCCAAGCATGCCGAGTTAGCCAATGAATATGCTGGCTTTCTCATGGCCCTGGGTCTGAATGGGCACCTTACCAAGCTGGCTACTCTCAATATCCATGACTACTTGACCAAGGTGAGACTCCCAGCTCCTTGTAGTGTGCCTCGTCCAGGCCACTGCAGTAGCTTCTAATTGTTCTACTTGCTCTTCCTTCTTCATTCTTGTACCTCTCAATCCATTCTTCCCATAGCAGGCAGAGTCATCTTTCTAAAGTGTAAGTTAGCATATATCACTTCCCTGGTCAAAACTGTTTAAAGATCTTTCATTGCTCTTGATATACATTCTGGGAGCCTGTGTGATCCCACTCACTTGTCCAACCTTACTTTGTACCACTCATCCCCTTGCTCTCTATACTCCCAACCATAGGGACTGGCCATTTTAGCTCCTTGGTAAACCAAGTTCTTTTACTTCGGAGTTTGGCAAACTAAACTCTTTCTCTTGGCATAAACTCTTCCACTTACATGCCATAAAAATTCACCTACTTAAAGTATACAATGCAGTGGTTTTTAGTATGTTCAAAGAGTTGTGCATCCATTCCTGCTATTACTTTTGGAACATTTTCATCAGTCTATAAAGGACCCTCATAGCAGTAGCAGTCACCTTCCAGGCCCTGGCTACCGTAGATATACTTTCTGTCTCTGGATTTGCTGATTCTGGTTCCTTCATATAAATGGAATCCTACAGTAGGTGGTCTTTTATGGCTGGCTTCTTTCTCTTACAGTGTTTTCACGGTTTGTTCATGTTGTATCATGTATCAGCACTTCGTGCTTTTTTTATCGCTGAATAGATACTCTATTGTGTGGATAGACTGTGTTTACCCATTCATCAGTTGGTGGATAGTTGGGTTATTTCTACTTTTTAACTGTTCTGAATAGTGCTGCTATCAACATGTACATGGTTTTTTGTGGACGTATGTTCTCATTTCTCTTGGGTATATTCCTAGGAGTACTATTGCTGGGTCATATGGTAACTCTTTGTTTAAATTTCTGAGGAACTATCAAACTGTTTCCAGAGTAGCTGTAACCTTTTTACAGTCCCACCAGGAATAAATAAGGATTCTAGTTTCTCCACATTTTTGCCAACATTTGTCTGTCTTTTTAATTATAGACATCCTAGTAGGTGTGAAGTAATATCTCATTGTTTTGGTTTGCATTTCCCTGATGGCTAATGATGTTGAGCATCTTTCATGTGCTCATAGGCCATTTGTAAGTCTTCTTTGGAGAAATGTCTATCCTATGTTTATTTTAAAATTGGGTTATCTTACTAAATTGTATTCTTTGTGTATTCTGGATACTAAGTCCATTAACAGATAAATGATTTGCAAAAATTTCTCCCATTCTTTGTGTTGTCTTTCACTTTCTGATGGTATCTTTGAAGCACAAGAGTTTTTAATTTTAATGAAGTCCAGTTCATCTATTTTTTTCTTTAATTGCTGTGCTTTGGTGTCATATCTCATTGCCTAACCCATGGTCCTAACCCATTTACACCTATGTTTTCTTCCAGGAGGTTTATAGTTTTAGCACTTATGTTTAGTTCTGTGGTCCACTTAGAGTTAATTTCTGTGAATGATATAAGGAAGCTGTCCAGCTTTATTCTTTTGCGTGTGGTCTATAAGTATCACAGCACCGTTTTCTGAAAAGACTACTTGGTTCCCATCGAACTGTCTTGGCATTCTGTGGTCACTTGACCATTACTGTGAGGGGTTATTTCTGGATCACATCAGAACCATTTACATGTTGTTCTCTCACTTGACCTCATTTTCTCTTACTTTCTAAAGCTGAGTGCCTCCCCTTTCTTCCACTTTCCTGGTTAATTTGTATTAATCCTTCAGGTCCTGTTGTAAGTTTTACTTCTTTAGAGATTCCTAATAATTCTTCAGCTCCTAATTGAAATTAGGCTCTTAAAAAATAATACTTCAGAGCGCCTGGGTGGCTCAGTTGGTTGGGCGACTGCCTTCGGCTCAGGTCATGATCCTGGAGTCCCGGGATCGAGTCCCACATCGGGCTCCCTGCTCAGCGGGAGTCTGCTTCTGCGTCTGAACCTCTCTCCTCTCGTGTTCTCTCTCTCATTCTCTCTCTCTCAGATAAATAAAATCTTTAAAAAAAAAAAAAATAATACTTCATATTACTTTGTGCTTTTTCAATATGCTGCTTTTCAATAATGTATTTATTTGTATATTTTTACCTCAACACTTTTTTTCCTCTATTAGGGAGCTTGCATCGTGAGAGTAAGGACTGTTGTCTCTTTAGTTTGCTGTTGTATTCTTGGTGCTTCTCACTGTGCCTGTCAATAAAAGTACTTACTGAAAGTACTGGCAGGCAGTACTTTAAGACTGCACAGGTAGTGACTTATATTTCATTTTACTTTCTACCTTTAGGGTCATGAAATGACAAGCATTGGACTGCTCCTTGGTGTTTCTGCTGCTAAACTAGGCACCATGGATATGTCAATTACCCGGCTTCTTAGCATTCACATTCCTGCCCTCTTACCCCCAACGTCCACAGAGCTTGATGTTCCTCATAATGTCCAAGTGGCTGCAGTGGTTGGCATCGGCCTCGTATATCAAGGGACGGCTCACAGGCATACTGCGGAAGTCCTGTTGGCTGAAATAGGTATGGCATTAATAGTGCTATGTCTTCATAAGCATACATTGCCCACTCCACAGGAACCAAAGTAAAAACAATAGTAAAATCACAAAAATTAAGGAAAAATAGTAGCTTTTGTTAGAATGTTCTGATGCTAATTTAAAAAATAGTATAAGTAATATTTTCCAAGACTGATATTAGTGTGCAGGTTATTAATCTGCATGTTTATTTGGCCAGCCCATTGTTGAGCTCCAGAGATCCTATTTAATGCAGTAACCTGTGGTTTTAATCACAAGTGAGAGTGCTGTTTATCCGCTTTGTCTTTACTAGGTAGTATCTAGCAGTGATCTGCACTTGAAATGCAAAGTTGATTACTTTGATCCCTAGAAACAGTGTTCATTCTGTTAGACAATTATTACTTTCAAGAGAATGGAAGTGATTGACCGTTGCTTTTCCTCCTTTACATGCTGGTGGGTATGTTGGTAATGAAATGTGTTTTCTCTGTTTTTAATTGAGTCTAAACCTTTTGGAAATGTGTCTTATGTATTGTTATCTTTTTCTGACAAATGGAAATGCTATTGGCATTATTAATATGTTCACTAATTTAGACACATAATTCCATGTCTTGTTCTATCCTATTTCAGGATATATTGTTAAAGATATGTTTTTCTCTGGAATGATTCTATTAGTTAGCTGTTGCCACAATAATGCTATCTAACAACCACAAAATTGGCCCGGCATCTCCGCTTTAGGTCGTAGGTCTGCAGATATGCTGCTTTGGCTCTTGTTCCAGATGATTTATTCTGAGGCCTAGGCTAGAGGATGTGCTTGTTTTATGGTGGTAACAGAAGGTCAAGAGGGAGAACCAAATAATGCAAACACATTTCAGGCCTTTGCTTACATTATGCCAGTTAAGATCCCCGGTCAAAGCTAGTCACATGTTCAAGTCCTCCATAAGGCTCTGTCAAGGGTATGGATGTATATATATGAGCACTGTAGGGCAGTGAAAAATTGACACCAACAATTTAATCTACTACAGTGATGAAATAAATTATTCACAAAACTGAAATTTTTCTGTTACCAAAATATGTAATAGTATAAGTTGGTCTGAGAAACATTTATTCAGAAGATACTCAAGAGTGGCTTTTAAAGCTTGTTCATCTGCAAGGTGATTTATAGCACACCTCTTTCATGTTGTATATAGAGGATTTCATCTAGATTCATATGCATATGCTCTTTTATATCATTATAGTCAGAATGTACATACTATTTTTATATTGCCCTTCCCATATATCATTGTCATAAGTGTTTTTTAAAATTAATTTCATATTGTGTCATATCTCATCGAAATGGTGTTCTGTAAATTGCCTGTTTTCTAATTTTCAGGACTTTTTTAGTTTGTTTCTAATTCTTTGCTATTATATATAAATATTACTTCTGTGTAATATTGGTTACTTCTGTATAATATTTCTTTTTCCTTTTTTTTTTTTTTTTTTAATTTTTTCCTGTGTGTAAAATCCCAGGAGTGTGAAATTTGTTTTGGACAGAGGGGTCTTTATGTGTATTTGCTGCCCTAGAGGTAGAATTAGAATCAGGGGGTGCTTTTTAAAAGTATGAGTTAAGTGTCTGAAAACATAATATTTAGCTTAAAAACTTAGGGTCCTTCCTGTCCATTATTAGTATTTGAACAGTGGATTGGAAATAGCAAAACAAAAAACAAAATGCAAGAGATTAAAAATTAAAACATTTTTGAGTGCCCTTCCTTTAAAAAATTTTTCTGTTTCTTGATAATTTTTTTCCCTAGAATATCAGTTTTACTTTAAGAACGGGGAACATGTGAACACATCCTTTTTATACTAAACCACTAAAAATGTTCAAAAATAAAACAGATTTTTATATTTTAAGACAATCAAGAAATATCTTACATGTAAAGATATATACTTCTATGAGATCCCACAGACTCCCTGGTGTATCAGGGAGTCTTTTCCTTTGACTTTTCCTTTCATTGAGACAACTTTTACACTTGATCTTAGCCAAAAGGCCGAGAAGCGATTATTGAGACAACTTTTAGAAATACTATATTAAATCATTATCTCCTATTTTCAGTTTTTCTTGTGTGTATACTTGAAGTGGTCAAATAGTTTTGTTTTGTTTTGTTTTGTTTTTAATAAAACCCGAGGTTCCATTGTGTCTAAAAGTCAATCCTTTCAAATTGGTACATTAAAGGAACCATTTTGGGCTTTGCTTTATAGTAAACCAACAGTTGTGCATACCATTTGTGATAATGTCATATCTTTCTGAGCGGGGTTGTATTGACTAAATGGTTCTTATGCAACTTACTAGAAAGCTAATTCTAAAATTTATGGTAGAATTTTAAGAGGCCAGTAGGCCAGCTTGAACTGTGTTATTTTCTATTTTATAGGACGGCCCCCTGGTCCTGAAATGGAATACTGCACTGACAGGGAGTCTTACTCTTTAGCTGCTGGCTTGGCTCTGGGCATGGTTTGCTTGGGGGTAAGCTTTTTCTGTGCCTTCAGATGCTTCAGTTATGACATCTGCATGTTGAGACAAATGATCTTGACACTTAACTCTGAATACCACTCTGCCTTACTGTGACTTAACCTGCTTCTCAGCTTTTTTTTCTTTCTGGATATTTTTCAAAAAGTGCTAGATTTGGAAATGGAGAGAATTTGTAGTGAAGAGTGGGGCTTAAAAGTTTTTATCCCCCTGGCTTAGATGTAAATGTTCAGGGAATGAAATATCTTGAAGAATTAAAGACGTAAGATGAGGTGATAGCCCCCTCAGACAGAAAAAAGAAAATTGTGTATGATGGGGAGCTTTAAGTGTCTATAGTAGTTGCTAGAGATAAACCGTGACCTTCTTTTGGCATCTTGGTATTCACTGGGATCTCAGAATGTTGTCACAGTAGTATTTGCTTTGTAACAGAATACGGTATCACTTTGTTCCATCTTTAATCACATCCATGAGACATAGTGTAGAATTATCAGAAACATTTGATCAAATGACTGAGTTACCTGGAATGTGGGTTCCTTAAGAACCACCAATACAGTGTTATACTGAAACTAAATTATAAAAAGAAAGTTCACTGTCTGTTAGGTTTTTGATTCTTCACACTTGACACATGAACTAAAGAAGCAGATGGTACAATGGAAAAGCAGCATACTGGGAATTGGGACATTGATTTGGTTCTGACCAGCGAGTCATGTCCTTTAACTACACTATTGTCTAGTGGCTAAGCAACTCCATGGATTGTTTTATATCCTTGTTTATATCCAACCCTGCCAATTACTAGCTTTGTAACCTTGGGCTTTGTGTGTGCCTCACTTTCCTTATCTGTAAAATAGTAGCTATTTGGTAGAATTGTCATATTAGGTAAATTAATTCATGTTAAACACACAGAATAGTACCTGAAACAGTAAGTGTTCAATACGTTTATATTATACTTATTGTTGCTAAAATAGTTCATAGATACAATAATGAAAGGACTCAGATGTTTGTAGTTCAAGTTTCATTTATATACCTAATATTTTCTTTTATTGTTAGTAATTAACTGTATTTTGAAGCCTTTATTTTGTGAAATGAAAGTATTAACTTGAACATATAAGTATTGTAATTCTTTTTTTTTTTTTAAAGATTTATTTCTTATTTTAGAGGGAGAGAAAGCGTGTGCACTAGTGTGCTCAGGGGGAGGGACAGAGGTAGAGGGAGAGAGAGAATCTCCAGCATACTCCCTGCTGAGCATGAGCCCAATGTGGGGCTTGATCTCACAACCCTGAGATCATGACCTGAGCCGAAATCAAGAGTTGGACGCTCAATCTACTGAGCCACCCAGGCGCCCCTAAGTATTGTAATTCTTAATGTGAATAATTATTAGTTATTTAGAATAATATAATAATATAATAGTTATTTTAATTTAATTTTAATTTAAAAAACCCAAAATACCTTGCTTGAAGTTAGTTCATTCTTTTATTTGTCATGGGTATGTGTTATGAATCTTAATCCATAAGATTTCCTTTCATATGTTTGTTATTTCATTTTCCAGCATGGCAGTAATTTGATAGGTATGTCTGATCTCAATGTGCCTGAGCAGCTTTATCAGTACATGGTTGGAGGTCATAGGCGCTTTCAAGCAGGAATGCATAGGGAGAAGCATAAATCTCCAAGTTATCAAATCAAAGTAAGTCCAAAATAAAACAACAGATCAAAATTCTGGAAGCTAAGGAGTTAATTTGAAAATAGTGATTTTCTTAACAACATTTGTAATCTGTTAATTTTAAGCATAGGCTAGTATTCAGAAGAATTTGTAATAATTCAGAATTTTTTTTACATAAACTTTTTTTTTGATAGGAAGGAGATACCATAAATGTGGATGTAACTTGTCCAGGTGCCACTCTAGCTTTGGCTATGATCTACTTAAAAACCAATAACAGGTATCACATCCCCCCTCTTCACCCCTTGCCATGATAGTGTGACTTCCTTTCTGACCTCAGTAGTAAAACTAAATTATCTTAATGTGTTTATTTTCCTTGTACTGGATTAACCTGATTTTTATTCTCTCCAGTACTCAAGTTATACAGATTTTTATCCAGAAACAATATATTTTGCTGTTTTAATCTTTGACAATATAATTGCCAATCTTTATTTTTGTTTTATAGTTGATGTCACTGACAATCAGAAAATGCCCAAATTCCTTTTCATGAATTATGCATGTTATTTGAGGATTGGTTAAGTCAGAATCACGTAACATTATTCTATTCTTGGTTGCCATTTATAAAAATGATTTCTGCTTAGTTCAAGAACTTGCCTAATAATCATACCAGCTTCCTTCCCAAATCCCAGTAATTAGTGCTGGACACTTAAAAGTAGACTTTTGGCATTTATTCTTTTACATTTTACATAGAAGAGTAAGTTGGGTAGGAGACATTAAACTATGTTTTAAATTTTAAGTCTTTTAAGTTAAAAAATATTTTAAGATTCAAGAATTTTTTCAGTATTGTGAATTTCTCTTGTTAGAAAAAGTGGATGTATGTAAAATTAACAAAATGGTTAAAAACAGGTATTTTTCATCTATTTTGATGAATATGTATGTTAGTGCTTTCTTGGTAATGGAGATGATTCAGTGAACAAAACAAAACTTAAAAATATCTGTTTTCATAAAGCATATGTTGTCATAGGACAGACATTAATACATGACAAATACTGTATTAGAGGGTATAAAGTACTATGGAAAGCAAATAGGGTAGTGGATGGAGTGGGGAGAAGTGTTTTGAAACCTGTCTTGGGATTCCTGATTTTTTTGTTCTCTAGTTGAGCAATAATGCCTACTGATATCCTCCACCAACAGATCTATTGCAGATTGGCTTTGTGCTCCCGACACGATGTATTTGCTAGACTTTGTGAAGCCAGAATTTCTCTTGCTTAGGGTATGGTACTTTGTAATTTTTTATTTCTGCCACCATTAGGAGTCTGTTTGTGTTTCTCAAGTTTAGCTTGTGAATATAAATGTTTCTATAGGGGAGCCTTTTACTATTAATCCATCATCTAGATGTAACTGATAGTATTCTTTTGATATTTCCCAAATGTACCTTGTAGGAATGCCAGGAAACACAACCATGTTGCTATATAATGCTAGGAGTTGACATTTCAACTTCTTACATTATTCAACAAGCAGTAAGTGATGAGGGCTGCTTTATTTTACATTCTTTCATTATTAAGGATGCAGCATTACTATTAAGGGTATAATTAATGACTTTGACATAATTGCCTATATTTTCCCTTTATTCTTCAATGTTTAAACTTGTAAGTTTTTAGCATATGAAAGCTTTTAAGTTACATAGACAGTGCTAAGATTCTTTGTGATTTTTCTTTTATGAAGCAAGTGTTTAAAAGTCCTTCAAACTTTAATAACAAAGAACTCAATTGTAGGGTTTTTTTGTGTGTTAAAGTCTAAACTTCAATTTATTTTAATGAGTTTAGCTTAGGTTGATATTAATTGCCATCAGTTGGGAACTGATTTTTACATTATTTAATATGATCATTGTTATAAAATCTATGAACTTTGCCTACTCTAATTGATTTTTTCTCTGTTACATTTTTAAGACACTTGCTCGATGCCTGATTCTGTGGGATGATATTTTACCAAATTCCAAGTGGGTTGATAGCAACGTTCCTCAAGTGAGTATATATAATAAACATTGTTGTATCTTCAGTGGCATAAATTACAGTTTCTTGTGGGATTTTACAAAACCTTGTAAAATACTTTTTTTAATAAAGGCAATATTGATAATTATAGTATTCTTGAAAACATGGGAACTTCAAGATTGTGTGCTGACCACAGACCACAGTCTTCTCTTTTGGCCTCAGATCCTGAGAAATTGTAGTATTAAAAATTAAATATACTGGGCGCCTGGGTGGCTCAGTTGGTTAAGCGACTGCCTTCGGCTCAGGTCATGATCCTGGAGTCCCAGGATCGAGTCCCGCATCGGGTTCCCTGCTCAGCAGGGAGTCTGCTTCTCCCTCTGACCCTCCTCCCTCTCATGCTCTCTCTCTATCATTCTCTCTCTCTCAATAAATAAAAATCTTTAAAAAAAAAAAATTAAATATACCAAAGTACCTTAAAAAAGTATTTTTGATGTTTTTATCCTAATTAAGCTGACCTTTATGGCACAGACTAGGACCTGCCCTCAGGCCAGAAGCCATGAAAAAGGAAACTTACCCACTAGTTTTCCTGTCTTCTAAGTGTCACCTCTCCTCTAGAAACTGCTTGCTTTTGTTTGATCTCTAGTGCCTTTAGGTCAAGGATTGGGGAATTATGATCCACCTGTTTTTATAAGTAAAGTTTTACCAGAACACAGCCATGTCATTCATTTACTTATTACATATAGCTGCTTTTGTGTTACAACAGCAGAAATCAGGAGTTGCTTTAGATACTATATGGTCTACAACCCAGAAATGTTTACTCTTTGGCCCTTTAAGGACAAGTTTGCTGACCCATGCCATGATAATTAATTTTTATATTTTGCCCAGAGTGTATACTTGTTTTCTGCAAGAGAGTCAGTCTGATAGTTTATTCATCCATTACCTGAACTCCTAGATATATTTGTATTTGTTTGATTCTTCCAGTTTGTTAGCCATTAATGTGAAACAGGTGAGGAAGAGTTGTTTTAATTGACTCTGCCATTTGTCACCAGAATTTTATCTCCTAGCACATCTGGATGTCAGAGATGTCACTTCTTTCTGAAAGTGCCCTTTAAAATCTATATTGTAGTATAAAATTATACTTTTATCCCCCCATTCCTTCATTCAGTACATATTTGTTGATCTTCTGTAAATGACCTCTGTAAATGCTAAACTCTAGGCTATATTTAACATGCATCTGAAATGTGGACTGTCCTCAAGAAACTCTAGTACATTTACTAAGTTTAGTTCACAAAGTTAAGCATGTACACAAATGACTGTATTCTAGAACAGAAAGGGAAGATCCATGTCAGAGATCTCTTTTTAACTTTTGTGGACATGTGGTCCTTGGACTTTTAATTTATAGTTATCTTTCTGGTACTTCTTTTACTTCAGACTTAATATTTTTAAATTTGACCTTGTTTATATCAGGGATCCCCAAATACATATAACAAGTTCACAGTTCTGTTCATTGATACTTCCTATCACTCTCCACTTCTAGTTTTCACCCACTCATCTCATTGATTCTGTAGCAAGGCCCGTTGTAGGGTACAACCTAGTTTTAAAAGAGGTATTAAAAAGGTCACTTTGTAAACTGCTTTTTTGTTTGTTTGGACTTAAGGCACATCTAAAATAACAACAACTAACGTCTTCGTAGCACTTTTTCCTTCATTACAAGTGTTACTGTACAACCTTGTGTTATGCTCTTAGGCAGTGCTGTACTGTGACTTGTTCAAGTATTGCCCTCAGTGCATGGGTGCGAACAATGTGCTATTGTTTGTTACCAGTGTGTCTGTGCATCCATTAGACTGAACGCCTCAAAGTCAGCTACTGTGTCTTTTCCATCTTTCCTTCCTAGCAGCTAGCACTTAGTAGCTAGAGGTACTGTTACACTGTTACAGTGTACTCTTAATTGAAAGAAGGCAGACTGGGGGTCCAGAGTCACCCAGCTATTAAAAGCTAGGGTAAAACTAAAACTAGCTAGTAGGACTTCAGATCTTAAGAGTTTTGCGTTGTACCCGTACAAGACAGAGGAGTTTGGTGGTCTTTCCTTGTTCATTTCCTGGATGTTTTACCTTGCCCTTAAAGGATTACATTTCTCCCTTTGATTACTCCTTATATTTTTGATTTTTTTTTTTTTTAAACTTTAGGAGACCATAGGAAAGATGACAAGGACCAGATTGAGGAGGAGTTCTCCCTCTCCTCCCCCAATTATTTACAACCCAGGTTCTTAGTGGTGCTTTTTAATGGTTTATGATCAAGTATAGTGTTATAGTACACAGATTAATGATGATGGTGATGATAGCAGCTAACACTTAAGACTTACTATGTAGCAGGCATTAATTTTAAGAGCCTTGAGTAGATTGAGTCTTCTAACTCTCATGGGAACCAAGAAGGTAGGCATTTACTGTGCTCATTTTACAGACGAGACACAGAGCGGTCAAGAAAATTGCTCGTTGTCACAGAGCCAGTGTGGGCCCTGCTGAACCTAGGCCTTAAGCTCCAGTTTTGAAGATAAAAGGAGCTTATAAATGCCTGCTGTCAAAATAGAAATATTCCATTCCTATATAATGTTATAATAAACACTTTATATAAATGTTATAATTAGGTTATCTATGTATATATAAATTACTCACTTTGGAGTTATATCAGTTTTTCAGAATGTCACTCAATTTCTGAGTAAATAACATTCAAAATTAAAAATAAAGTCTGTAGGGAAGGAAGAAGGATGGAAGTAGTTATCAGCCTGTATTACACAGCCAGCATAATTGCTTACCTCATTGAGATTATCAAAGAGAAAAGGTATTTCAAGTTTTTTGATTTGGTGATTTCAGTACATAAGAAGATTGGGTCATAAGTGAGTTTAGAATATTTATTGGTTTATTATAGAAAGCATCCTGAAATATTACTCTTCTAAAGAGTCTTCTAAAAGATTATAAGAAGAATTTTTAAAATTTAATTTTAAGTTACTTAATTAAATGATTTAATTGGGTAATTTAAATCAAATTTAATTTTGATAAAGTTTTATTTACTACTTACACTATAAGGAAAGCGATGTGTTTCTAAACAGTAGTTATAGATTAACATATTGATGGTTTGTTTATTTTTTTTAAGATTTTATTTATTTATTTGACAGAGACAGTGAGAGAGGGAACACAAGCAGGGGGAGTGGGAGAGGGAGAAGCAGGCTTCCTGCTGAGCAGAGCCCGACGTGGGGCTCGATCCCAGGACCCTGGGATTGTGACCTGAGCCGCAGGCAGACTAACTGAGCCACCCAGGCGCCCCTAACATATTGATGGTTTAGTTTAGCTTGGGTAACTAATCTAGTGACTAACCTTACTCTGGTAGGCGTAAGGCTAAAAATATCTCATGAATAAGAAGTATCTCATGAATAAGAACTCTGATTAGAGTTCTTTCCGGTTGCTTTTTTCCCCCTCCCTACTGCTTTCCCATATACTTGCTCCAGCCCTATTCTGTAGTCATCTTTGCATTTCAGTTCACTGGTATGAAATAATATCACCCTGTTACTGACTCAGAATACACTTCAGTCCTCCAGTTCATACACATTCAGTCCTATTCAGTCATTGTTGGGTCCATCTTAGGTTTGAAATTAGATTGCATTCAGTGTGATTAAAATATATCTTTGAATAAAATGGCTTATTATATATAATTATGGCCACAAAAAGCAGTATGTTCTTTTTCTTTTCTTTTTTTTTTTTTGGTGAAGGGTCCTGGGGGGAGGGCAGAGGGAGAGGGAGAGAATCTGAAGCAGGCTTTATGCGCAGTGCGGAGCCCTGTGCAGGGCTTGATATCACAACCCTGAGGTCATGACCTGAGCAGAAATCAAGAGTCAGATGGTTAACCAACTGAACCACCCAGGCGCCCCAAAAGCAGTATGTTATTTTTCAAATCATTTAATATTTGTAACTTGAATATTAATGTCCAGGTATTCTTGCTTTCTCTCTTGACAGATTATAAGAGAAAATAGTATCTCTCTCAGTGAAATTGAATTGCCTTGCTCAGAGGATTTGAATTTGGAAACTTTGTCGTAAGTCAGGAAATATGTAAATCAAATGAGCTAACGTAGCATCTCTCATGGATAAATAGAAATATACTATGTGGGAAAAGTGCTGTCCTTGATTTGAGTAATTCTGAATCCCCCATGTTTCTAACTGTTGCTTATCAGATGCTCACAGAGTTGATTTTTTCGTTGTTTTCTGTTTAGGTCTCTGAAGTGTAGAGCTCTTGCCCTCAAAAAACAGTGTCAGAGATTTAACTTGTACATATTCCTCTTTTATCCTTTTCATTAAAAAATTTGGCAGTTATTTTAAAAAATTATCTTCTTGCTGTGTGTGAAACATGCAATCAAGAGGCACACTTTATCAGTAGGGCTACATGGTCCTTCTGCTGAAGAAATCTGCTGATGGAATAGAGGCACAGTTGAGCATTCCCAGAAGAATACAAACTAGTTTTGAGAACAGGAATATTTATTATTTTTGCCCCCAGAAAATAGTAATAATGAATTTTAAAGCAAAATAATGGCAGTTTTAAATTTCTTGTAATCTGTTTTCAGGCAAGCACATGTCTACATAATTGCAGGAGCCTGTTTGTCTCTGGGTTTTCGATTTGCTGGCTCAGAAAACTTATCAGCATTTAATTGTTTGGTAAGAAGGATACTAGTTTACTCTGTTCTCTTTTTTAAAGTGTTGATATGCTTCTTTTAACCTCAGACTTTTTTCTTTTGTTTTTCCAGCATAAATTTGCAAAAGATTTTATGACTTATTTGTCTGCACCTAATGCTTCTGTAGTAAGTCTTTTTATGATCATTCTCCTTGGGAATAAAATTGAACTTAAAGAAAATTCACTGATAATTCAGTTACTTATGTGTTGTTAAGTATCTCTACAGTTTGTTTGAATTTAGAATGGGAGATTTGAAGTTTTGACTCATCTTTGTTTTTGTGTTCTGAGGTATTAATTAGGTGGAAGTATGCTGACCCTTGAAGGATGTACAGGTCTCTAATTCTTGTGATAGCAAAAACCATATCCTTCATGGATTGTCATACCCTATGCCACTCTGTCTCAGGACTGATTATTGGTAACTGCTTTTTTAAAAAAAAAAATTAGCGCTTAGTAAAAATGCAATTCCTTTTGAGGCATTGCTGCTCTAATGACAGGAGATTGTAAGATTTTATTTCGTGATAAAACCACACAGATTTGTGCAACATTATGTATAATATGAGAAAACTGGAAAATCAAGAAGTCTGAAAGTAGGTACATTTGATTATTGGGTATCTGGACATTGTTGTACAATGGAGCTATCAAACTTGTGTAAGAGTTTTTATGAGTAAAGATTGTTTATATATAATAGATTTAAAAAGTTAAAAATACCATGTATAATAATACCTCAATTTCATTTGAAAAAAAATTCATAAGATACAGGAAAAGATTTAGGGAAAGGCCAAAATATTTATGGCAGTTCTCTTTGGGTGTTAGTATTCCAAGGAATTGTTATTTCCTTTTGATATTTATTTTCTGAATTTTCTACATAACTTAAATATCATAATCAGAGAAAATTTTTGTTTTTACAGATTTTTTAAAGTTGTATTTATAGTCTAATACTGCAGTTGTAGTATGTCGTCTTTTTTGCATTTCCAGACAGGTCCTTACAACCTAGAAACCTGCCTGAGTGTGGTGCTGCTCTCTCTTGCCATGGTAATGGCTGGCTCGGGGAACCTAAAGGTTTTGCAGCTTTGTCGCTTCTTACACATGAAAACAGGTGGTGAAATGAACTATGGTTTCCACTTAGCCCATCACATGGCCCTTGGACTTCTCTTTCTGGGAGGAGGAAGGTAAATGAATATATATTTTCTGTTTAATGAAACGATCTCATGAACAAGATCTATAAGTGATTTATTTTGGTTTTGAAGATACTTGAAAATTTTTGATCCTGCCTCTCTATTAGCATATTGGGGAGCATTGTTACACTTTAAAAGGGCTTTTTTTTTTAAGTTTAGCCATCAGTTTATGCCTTGCTTAGTAGAGTTACCATCCTCGCTGTATATTTGCAGAAGAGTTGGTACTCAGTTCTTCAGTGCATCACCTCTTGTTCCCCACTGTTTAATGACTTTGACCTTCTACTGAACTACTCTCTCATAAAGGTTATGAACAGTATTGGTCATCAAGTCCTGAGAGTTTCTTAGTTTTCCCTTTCTTTGCTCTCGTTCCAGCATCTGTCATTCCTGACCACCTCATCTTTTTATAAGACTTCCCTGTAGACTACCATGTAGAAAAGAACTCAGAATACCTGTCTCTAGCCCTGCTATGCCTCTCCTGTTAACTGTTACTTCACTTCTACCCAAAGATAATCACTATTTAGTCTCCTAACACCTTGGACTGGCTTTGCCTGTTTTTGAAATTCAAATGGAATCATACACTGTGTATTATTTCATACTTACAGTTGACCCATGACCAGCATGGTTTGAACTGTGTAGGTCCACTTACACACTGTTGTTTTGGTCAAACACAGTACAGTCCTCTAAATATATTTTGTCTTCCTTAATTTTCCTAGTATTTTCTTTTCTATAGCTTACTTTATTATAAGAGTACACCATATAGTACATATAACATACAAAATATGTGTTTATCTACTGTTTATGTTACCGGTAAGGCTTCCAGTCAACAGTAGGCTATTAGTTAAGCTTTGGGGAAGTCATAAGTTATTCATAGACTTTTGACTGTGCAGGGTGATTGGTACCTCTAACCCTGACATTGTTCAGGGGTCAGCTGTACTTCTTTAGCTCAACATTATTTGAAATTCATCTGTGTGGCATGTAGCAATGATCTATGCCTGTTTCTTGCTGTTGAATTCCATTGTATGATTATACCACAGTTATCGATCTACTCTGCTTGTGATGGCTGTGTTGTTTCTAGTTTGGGGCTGTTATGAATTTTTTTTTTTTTTAAAGATTTTATTTATTTATTTGACAGAGAGAGATAGCGAGAGCAGGAACACAAGCAGGGGGAGTGGGAGAGGGAGAAGCAG